CTATTAAATCCAGACCAATCATCCTAATGTGCTTTTATGTGCTACAAATCTGATTACATTAACTCTGTCATGCCATAGAGGTTTCAATTTGATTTGGTTAATTTACTAGTTGCATAATTCATTTATTGATATGAGAATGCTAAATTAGGATGCCTCCTTGAATGTCTTGTTTTTTATACATTTTTTATGGTTATCTCATTTACTAATTTATATGTTTTTGATTTACAGGTTCATCAATTACGCTAAGTGGATTTGCTTTTGAAGATGAACCTTATTCGATAAATTGAATTTTTTAAAGTCCTTGTATTTTTATATGTCAAATGGATATTGTATGTGAACAGTTTGATTTGGATATTAATTAATATATTTTGTTTTAAATTGCATTTTTTATTTAAGTTTCTTAACTTAACTTTTCATTTTTTAAATTGCATTTTTTTATTTGTTAAGCATGTATTAAAGTGATGAATTAATAAAAAAGTGTATGTACCAACAAATATTGGAATTAACCTGGCATAAACATTAAAAAATGTATCTATATCTAAGCTGGCGGTCATGAAACTGCTAGATTAGCCATAAACCAAACCAAACTGGCGGTCTGAACCGCCGCCTAAGGAAGTAAATGATGTTGGACTAAACCAAACCAGCCACCCCAAACCGGCCACCAAAGGCGGCAATCTCTTGTATCTAAGGCAGCGGTTTTGATCTAGGCTGGCAGCTACTTAGACGGCAGACCAATGATCGCCGCCTTGGATCTTAGACTGTTTTTCTTGTAGTGAAAATTAGTTAATAATAGCAATGAAGAAGTAGATCGATCCTAAGAAGGAAAAGGAGGAAGAGGAGGCAAGGAAGCAGAGCATGGGCGGTGGATTTTGAAAAAGAAGAAGAGGAAATGAGAGAGAGATCTATGATGACCTGGCCAGAGTAATGCAGGTCGGACCTTTGGAGTTCAACCACCGACCTACAGAAGGTTTGAAGGAGGGAGTGACGAGAGAGAGGAGAAAGAGGGTTGGAAACTTCAATTGGGGGTTTGAGAGGGGTTTTTTCATCATTTTTCTTTTTATTGTTTTAACCAGCTGGAATGGGAATCTAATTCTTGGGGGGTGGGTCGGGAATGGTCATTCCCTCAAATGGGGGATTGTCATTCTAACGCAGCGTGAAAGCAATGAGAATCGGAGCTGGCTATGCAAGCACCGGGCGTTCACTAGCACCTAGCGAATAAC